CTAGTTACCACCTACCAATTAGTGGGGTATTTACTGGTATATTTACCCACGATTATTTTAATGTAAGTAGGTGTGACAAAACATGTTGAAAAAATTTTTTATTTTTTATATGACAGTAATGTCTTAGCATGCTCTGTGGAAGTGTGTGTGTAGTTGTCGCCAGTCTTTTATTGTGTCTACACCTAGTATCACCCATCAAAATAATATGTTAGCAGCAAATCAATGTTAGAGCAACCTACCGGAATGGACTTGCCGCCGCCGCAGCGTGTCGATCGAACCAAACCGCACAACGCGCGTTTTAACTTCGAGTGTCTCGTGGCGTGCGTCAAAGACGTCTATACTTTCGGTTTCACCGCTGCCAGCAAGGCCGTGAACGAAATCGGAGCAAAACTAGTTTTTTAATATCTTCATATATGTAATATGTAATACTAGCTAAGCTTCTGTCCGCAGATTCGCTCGCGTCTGAGTAAATTACAAAAAACAACTGATGCACATTTTTTTGTTACTTACCTACAGATAGACTGCATACCAATTTTTATCTTTCTTCCTTAAAAATTGCGAAATCCTCCTTAAACTTCTACCTCCCATTTTAGAAACGTAGGGGTTTTTTTTAAGGGGGGAAAATCATCGAATGACTGCTTATGGTGGCCGGAGATCGTCCCGCGATCCCCGACGCCCGGTGTGTTCTTCGCGATGGCTGGGTTGCGAGGAGGCAGCGCTTCGCTGCCTCACGCGTCCCGCCTCCTCCTTAGCTAGCATGACTGCTTCGCAAAAAGAGGAGACGGCATCCCAGTCCCCCTCGCTCCGCATCATGGCCCGCACTAGGCCCGGACGCGAGAGGTCGCCATCGCCGATCACTTCCCTGAGGGCACGGCGGTGCTTAGCCCACGCAGGGCATTCCGCTACAGTGTGTTCCACCATGTCCTCAGGGCGGTCCTCGCAGTGATGACATCCAGACCTTTCCTCCCGCCCCTTCAGACACAGGTACCTCCCGAAACTTCCATGTCCGGTGAGGACCTGCGTCAGGCGGTAAACTTTGGGGGGGTTGGAAAGAGACAGAGATTAGCCTATATTACTCTCCATCCCTTCAACTATCTTCACTTAAAGAATCACATCAATTCGTCGCTCCGTTTTCCCGTGAAAGGCGGACAAACAAGCAGACACACACACTTCCACATTATTTCATAATATTAGTATGGATTATTGTCATTGATTTTAGACTAGTGATGTTCACGAAAAACGTCGATGGTCGAGTTAAGCTGGCGAGATGGCAAGCGAAATCGGCCGAGTTCGTCTGACACATCGCGCGAGAAGACCTGTGTCACGGTAATAGTATCATACAGTATTCCAACTTCATACAAACGGACGAAACGTCAGCTAAATATATCTACGCGTCTCGATGTGGCGGTGCGCTCGGGGTGCAGCACGGCTGGTCACGGCTGTAGGTACTGCAGTCACGAACAGACGGTGTCTTGTTTTGCTGCGTCCACCTGTACCAGTGACACTGCTGTACGTGTCCAGACTGCATTACTCTACAAAGGTCGAGGAGATTGTAGAGTATATTCAGATCAAAATGTAAAAATCAGTTCGAGTTGAGTCATTTAATATAGTACTACTAGACGAGTATGACATAATATATAGGTACCTAGTGCTGTTTTTGGTTGTAGGTATTTTATGCAAAATTATGCAACGTGGACAGTTACCATTATAATACATCTGATTCTGTCACTACTCTTGAAGCCTTAGTACAAGTTTGGTTTGCGTTTGAAGTATTGGCTGGCGTCAACGAATAAGAATAAGAACGTTTATTTGCACGAAGTATGGTACAGAACAAAACAGCACTAGGCTGTTTTTGGTTGTAGGTATTTTATGCAAATATTTTTCGCTCGCAAATTTGTAAGCCCGATTCGTTTTTCAAACAAAAACATGTTTTTTTCTTAAATTAAATCTACCAATTAAAAAACAACACGCGTTTTTATTGACACTTTCTATTCAATATAGAAAGTATATATTTGTTTATATAAAAAAGGATTTATATAAGAAAAGCAAATGTAATTAAAATGCCGGAGACGGGCAGCCCTAACGCACGTTTACGTACCGCGCGGCTGTAGGTATTTAACTTTGTCATGCGGCCGAGTTACAATACTGTAATGATAATATTACCGTGCCTGTGTCGCGCTATGTTGCCAGACATATCGACCACATTCTGACAACGTCGCACTACTCCACCCAACGTCATTGGCGACATGTGTCGCAGGCAATTATTTGTTAGTCTTGTGCTTAATAGTTCGCGACTAAGATCACTCAGATCAGTTCGCCGCTCCTAAACGAACTAGTTCGCTCTTTTAGTTCGTCAGCTCCCGACTCGCAGTTGCAGTTGGAATTGGAATGAATCTTAAAGGAACTAGGAACGCACTGGCAGCCAAATCGCTCCCTAGTTCGTCAGCTCCCGACTCCCAGTTGGATTTGGAATTGGAATGAATCGGATAGGAACTAGGAAGGCACTGGCAGCCAAATCGCTCCCTAGTTCGTCAGCTCCCGGCTCAGCTCATGACTTTTCAAGTGAGATCATAATATTATTATGTTATCGCATTTTTTAGTTCGGTCTTCAGCATAGACTATACATATAAACGACTTCACAATCCTTGTAGTTGTACTTTGAAATACGAACTAAGGAACTAGGGAGTTGCGAATGACGAGAACTAGTTCGCATATTTTGGATGTGGGAGCGCTCTTTTGAACTAGTTCGTTCGCGAACTACACAAGCCTATTATTTGTCCTCTAGTACACAGTAAGCTGGCGTGCAAAGCGTGCACAGCACACGGGCGCACGATCACGGAGGCGGCAAATCGAGCGGCTCATTAGGTACTATTCAAAATCATTGTCCAGAGTAAGCAAAAAGTATACGAAATATCATCGCTGGAAAAAAATTCCACTCGACGGAAGCAATATTAGGGTTATGACTATCGTCATCAGATAAGAATAAGACTAAGATGCAATACCAAACTTGGAATCATCAGAAAACGATCGAGCGCCCTCGAATACTTTACTCGAAATCTATCGAGCGACCTCGATCAGTTTCGTAAAATGCTGGCTTCAAAGCTTCCACATCACCATAGATGGGGCCCACCAGGATTGTTGCCTTGTTGGGTAGGTTGTCATATGGGTACTAAGACCCTGGCTTTGAGCGAGTGTTGGAAGGTATTTTTTTAAGGGGCGAAAATCAACGAATGACTGCTCCCGCCTGGGTGAGGCGGGAGGGAGTGTCAGACTCTTACTGACTAAAAACCACCCCGTTCCTTCTCCTGCACGTCGAGCCGGAGCCCCGGTTACCCGTTAGGTTCTATGGGGTGGTTTTTAGTTAACAAGATTTGTAAGAGTCACTTCCTCAAGAGTCATTTATGACTTTTTACCCAAAACAAAAAAAAAGGGGGGCGGCAGAATCGGTATTTGCACGCGGGCGGCGGTTCGAATAGCTAGCGGCGGGCCTGCTCTAGTGCATCCTTGACTTTAGGCCTACTATCCATCTTGCGTCATTTGACGGATACATGCATTCGTCAAAAATGATTGACGGACGCAAGCATTCAAAGAACTTTAAAAAAACATATACCAAGTCCTCAATAGTGTACCGGCCAACACCAGACAAGAAAATAATATAAGACTGTTTAACTCGTCGAGTACCGGTTTTGCAGACACAATTAAAGAACAATAGGTTGCGGTCACCGGTGACCGCTTGGTATTTGACAGTTTAAAATTAAGTTAAAGAAATACTTCTACATAGTAATTGAGTAGTTTATTAATGTATGTCAAGCAATGCGGCACCAACCACAGTCAAATCACTAAACAGGTTTTGTGGGAATAGGTTTTAAATTCAATATCTGTGCACTGTTGTGATTATAAATAAATAAATTTGCGATTTGTAGGCCGCGTATTGCTTGTGAAGGATGCATGCAATCGTCAAATGTGTGTGGGAGAGCCATGCTTCGGCACGAATGGGCCGGCTCGACCGAAGTGATACCACGGCCTCACAGAAAACCGACGTGAAGCAACGCTTGCGTTCCAGGTTTCCATGGGCGACGCCGATTGCTTACCATCAGGTGATCCGTCTGCTCGTTCACCGGCTTATGCCATAAAAAAAATGACGCAACGTGGACAGTTACCATTATAAGACATCTGATTCTGTCACTACTCTTGAAGCCTTAGTACAAGTTTGGTTTGTGTTTGAAGTATTGGCTGGCGTCAACGAATAAGAATAAGAACGTTTATTTGCACGAAGTATGGTAATTACAGGTAATAATAATTATAAAAATATAGTCCCACATACATCGCCTTCTGTTTTCGGCATGCAAAGTTAAGTTTTACAATATAATAAATTCAAAATCTTACATTCAATAAAACCAATTACAAAAATGCTTACAATTAGGATAACATATTATTTCTTCTAAGATATTATTATTACTTTTCTTCTTTATTCACATATTTATCATTTTAGTGACTTACTAAATAACAACACACTTAATATTGCACACATTAAACTTTCATTGTAAGAAACTCATCTAAGGTGTAAAAGCAACTGTTGATTAGTAGTTTATCGAACCAACCAATGAGAACTACGAACGCGCAGCAGCGAGCTATGGAGAGGCCTATACCCGAGTATAGGCGAGAGACTCCGAAGTCTCTCTCCAGAATAGGATCCCTAAACTGAGAACTAAAGTTACCAACGTAGCCCAAAAGATAAGTAAGATGAAATGACATTTCGTAGATAGATTCATACTTTTAGCTAAAATCGAGGTCGTAGAGAACCTAACGGGTAACCGGGGCTCCGGCTCGACGTGCAGGAGAAGGAACGGGGTGGTTTTTAGTCAGTAAGAGTCTGACACTCCCTCCCGCCTCACCCAGGTGGGAGCAGTCACTCGATGATTTTCCCCCCTTAAAAAATTAATCAAAAATCGAGAAAAATCTTTCAAGTACAATCGATTATTTTGTATCGATATCTCGTTAGTATTAATTCCACATCCTTAGTCACGATTGTGTTTGTGTATAAGGAAAAACATGCAGTTTATTTTTGTGATCAAGACGCGACGGACATTTTGAAATGAGTGTATTTTTACTGTGGAGGTAAGCGTTATTATTCTATATAATCCATACTAATTTTATAAACCTGAAGAGTATGTTATCTTTTGTTTGTTTGAACACGGTAATCTCCGTAACTACAAGTCTGATTTGAATAATTCTTTTTGTGTTGGATAGCGCATTTATCGAGGATGGCTATAGGCTATAAAACATGACGCTACGACAAATAGGAGCTGAGCAGAGCGTGTGAAACCGCGCGGAAGTAGCTAGTACTTAATATTGTTGATAATAACTTAGGATTGTCCATGTTGCGTCATTTACCGAATGCATGATGATAGACGGATTTGTCGTTGTCGTTTCGTGCGCAGCAGCTGTAGCCAAATGCCATTTAGCGCTTGTCTACTTGTAGAATAGAAAACTAAATTATATGGAATTGACGTAAATTTTGACACTTGTCAGTGTCATCCCCATACATTTTGATTTCTACTCTCTCTGTAGACAAGCGCTGAAGTGGCGTTTGGGTAAAGGCACCGGTTTTGATGGTTATTAAGCAAGATGCAAGCATTAGTCAGTGGTCGACTTTTGTTTTTTTATGGAAGAAACCGGTAAACGAGCGAACGGATCACCTGATGATAAGTGAACACTTGCGTTGTGTTTCGTCGTATGAGTGAGTTTACCGGAGGACCAATTAATCTTCAAATTCTTAATCCCCAAAAGGCCGGTAACACCTATGGTGTTTAGGGTGTCTATGAGCGACGCCGATTGCTTACCATCAGGTGATCCGTCTGCTCGTTTACCGACCCATCACATAAAAAAACAATTATCTAAATGACTCAGATTACCCAGTTAAAAATAACAATGCAATCTGTATTGCGCCATTGACGTAATCTATATATACTATGTCCTGACTGAGTGAATCATCATCGCTGAGCGTAAGCTAATATAAAGTTTCGTTTCTGTCTCTGGAGCCCTAACCATCGGTAGCTTGGACCATGCTCCCGCTACTGGTCGGCTCCTATTACATACATACATAACATCACGCCTTTTATCCCCGAAGGGGTAGGCAGAGGTGCACATTATGCCACTGTACAATGTAACACCCACTTTTCACTATTTATGCTATGAGTCCCATGTAATAGGGGGTGAGCCTATTGTCATATACCGGGCACAATTCCAGACTCCGTGCCTCTACTGAGATTTTTTTAAAAGCCCAGTAATACTTTGCCCGACCCGGGAATCGAACCCGAGACCTCTTGCCCGGCAGTCGCACTTGTGACCACTCGGCCAACGAGGCAGTCTTAAATATAATATAAGCACTTTTAAATATAATTATTTCATTTTATTTTAGTCAAGTATCTAGTATTTAGACATCTGTATCTATATTTACATATAATAAAATCGTAGAAAAGTCAAAATTGTACATTGAATCCTTACTAATAATATTATAAATCGGAAAGTGAGTTTGTTTGTTTGTTTGTTCCGCTTTCAGGCCATAACTACTAAACCGATTGCTTTTAATTTTTGCAGATGTATAGTTAGAAGTCCGGATTAAATAATAGGGTATTTTTTATCCCGGAAAAATTTGATATTCCCGAGGGAAAACAAAAGTATTGGTATACCTCTAGATGGCGCTGTGGGTATTGGTATATATGTCACTATAGGCTACTTTTTATCCTTTTGTGACGCGAGCGAAGTCGCGGGTAAAAGCCAGTATTTTTATAAACGAATAATTGGGGCGTGATCTACAATCGATACCGAAGCCAAAAATGTGTTTTTTTGGAATTTTTGTCTGTTTATCTGTAAATGTATGTTCGGGATGATTTCAAAAAGTACTACATGGATTTACTTCTAATTTTGCATGAATATTACAACAGGTCAGGTGGCTTACTCTTGAATCCAATTCCGATCGATCGACATTGGTATTGCGAAATTTCGTACTCTTGAGTTTCAACACTAGCGCCCATTGCATCCGTATTGCGTGGGTATTGAATGAACTAAATGGTATTGAGTTTGACTTTATATTCCGTACTCTGAATGCTATTTCAACAGCAACGAAAGGGGTTGTATAGTGTTCACATTGAATAATTATTGAGATTTTATTGGATTGAAATTGTATTGACATTGAGATTGGTTTCAAGAGTAAGCACCCAGGTCAACATATAGGCTACATATTATCACGCTATCATCTACGGGGGAGGAGCTATGAATCGTTATTTCTTTTATCTACGCATTCTGTAACAGCGTGTCATATTTCAAAGTCAAAGTCAAATAATATTTAAATGTTATTTTTTAGTAAACCATGCTATTATCTAGCTTTACTCTAGACTATACAAGACTACGATGAGTCCCATGCAATAGGGGGTGAACCTATTGCCATATACCGGGCACAATTCAATCCCGGCAGTCGCACTTGCGGGTCTCGGGTTCCATTCCCGGGTCAAAGCATTAATGGGTTCTTAAAAAATCTCAGTAGTAGCACTGTTACGACCATTCTCTTTAGTAGAGTTGTCGTAGTCTATGTCGCATAGAGTGTTTTGTAGTCCATGGTTCATAGAGTTTTATATAGTCTATGATATAAGAGTTATCTGTGTTCTGTCTAAAAAGCGCGGGTTAAATAATTTTGACGCGAAAGAAGAGATTTTGTATTGCATCCACTGAATTCCTGTTATTTTCACATTTTTGAAGAATTTCCCATAACTGTCATAGCACGGAGTCTGGAATCGTGCCCGGTATATGACAATAGACTCACCCCCTATTACATGGGACTGATAACACAAATAGTGAAAAGTGGGTGGTACAGTGTAGTTACAGTGGCATTAAGTGCGTAACGTGTACGTCTGCCTATCCACGCATTAATGGCGTGATGTTATGTTTTAGTGATTTTTAAGATAAATATTGTATTTTAAGACGGCATTGTAACATTGTCTTACGATCGTGATGGACAATAGAACAGACTAACTCGCGGAGACGTCCATTTTTTTAAAGATAGAGGGAAGCGCTCATACCACATCTCCTGTTTGTAGTATTTCTGTGTTGCCATCTATACTTTACCTTCATCGTTACAGGTCGCCCCTGCAAGCTTGAGAAACCAGACATTGAAGAAATCATCAACAACTTTCAATAAAACCAGTCAAATGAAAAATCATATGAACAGGCGGCAGAGGGGTAAGACATCTATGGAGCGAGGGGAGTAGAAGAACTGTCAAACGCTACAACAACACTAGCGCCACGTACCGGTGTCACTCGTCCTCCAGTGCCGGTAAACTTGTCAAATGATTCTTGCATACACGTTTTATAAGTACAAATAGATTTATTGTACTATCTACTAATAAAGGAGCTATTTCTGTTCCTTCTCTCTCAATCAGACCAAAGAAAAAAGGTCTGCAAAGGATCGACTTCACTTTCCGACGTACAAGGTTAAACCACTACAAAACTTCCAAACTAGGTTAGATGAAGTTCAAATTAGTACACTTGCAGTCTTCACCAGCTTGAGATAACAGACAGAAGACGCTCACCACATTGATATTATTTCATCAATAAATTCAACTTTAGACGCTATTACTATGAACGTAAAAGAATATAAAAAGCGTGCAGGAACATCGGGCATACAAGGACAACTGTATGAAACGAAACTCACCAGTCTCATTAACTTTAGAGCCTTGCACAACGACACAACAGAAAGTTTCCATCTAGCCTCAAACATCGATGAAATCGGCACTTTTGATGATATTTGTCTAAGAATCAAAGTGTCTGAATTCGATAAACCTTTGGCTATATTCATCCAAGCCAAACATCGAGAAAATGATAAACTATTCACGTTTAGCAACAAGAACGATTTAGCCAAATATTTTGATAGTTATTTTAGAATCAGACAATTGTTCAGTCCTGCAAATAAGAGTCCAATTTTCGGTGGAAAATACGAAGATGTTGAATGCTTTTTTGTAATGTACACTACAGCTAAAGATGACAATAGAACTGAGGTACACGAGGGTGAATTTGCTGATTATTTAAATGAGTTTATAGGCACAGGAGAACCTTGCCTACAACCTGTTTATGAAGATGATCATTTAGACTTTCTATGCAAGATTGTAATAAAAGAAGAAATTGTTTGCTTAGCTCAAAATATAGCTAAGTTTATAACTGAACAAAGTAACACGGAACTATCGATGAACAATGATTTGATACTGCGCTACCATGTGCTACTAGCTAAAGAAGTTTTTGAAGTAACTGAGATTCAAACTGAAGGCCATCGATTTGTGCATTTCAGGGAAGATTTCTTTGGTTCTATAAACGAATTTATCGTTCTATTTAAAAACTTATTATGTTTAGACATTCTAAAGAAAAACAGATCAGAAATGAATGATGATAAAATGGATAATATAGATTCTATTCTATCAAAGTTTCTTGCCGAACCCAAGGAAGAACTACTATCAAAATTAATAGGCAATGTTATAACTTACAAGAATAATAAATTGGAATTCATCCACAAATCTACTAATGATGAATTAAAACGAAAGCTTGATAAATTGAATGTACCACAAACTGTTGTCTTTAACGCAGCTGTAATTGAAGCTAAAGAATACTTACAAGGTCTTAAACTGAAGGTACCAGCATTTTTTGGTAACAAAGACTTAGCCATAAGAGGTAATGATGCGAAAATAGACAAAAGATTAACACATTTAACAACAAAATTCGTAGAAATATTCGAAAATGGGAAGACAGACAATGTAATAACGATCGACGAAAGTCTTGGTGATGGATTTCTGCAGTTGAATGGAGGATTATCTTCAGCCGTAGGAAATATATTAGTATTTGATGACGATACAAGACTTCTAAAATTCACAGACGATTTCGAATCACTGGGCAGCATAGCCAAGAGATGGTACGAAAGACTGACAATTAAAATCGACAATCTAAATGAATACAGACTAGACGTCAAAGTGAAAAAGTTTCCTAAACTTTCATTTGAAAGAGGAGAATACGATGTCAGTTTGGTCAGAGATTTTTACGACAGATTGCTCTTTTTTACTGACCAATCAGACCAGAGTGGAGTAGAAGATATACTCAAGAAAGAAATAGAAGATCATCCATGTAATGATGCCCATAACTTCAGAGTGAGATCTGACGTAATATTCCTAAGGTATCACGATGAAATACAAAAACTATGGATGACTCCAAAAAAAGGATCGTATTTGACGAAAAAGAGCAAAATATACGAAAATGCTGTTACAAACGCTATGAGTGAACCTTTGATTGGAGTATTAAATACGATGCATAGGATTAAAAACAAAGATTATGTATTCAAAGAAGTATCCCTGAAGATATTTGCAGAAAGTGATGTTACAGGATCTGTTATAGCATCAGGAAGCCCAGTATTGACAGCAGTCAAATTGGAACAGTATTTAGGCAAAAAAGACCACACCGTGTTAGACTTAGAATACATTTTCAAACTCCCTGTTAAGAGTCATACGATATTTTGCAAAGAACTGACGAATTGTAAGGATAAAATACTCATAATTCTGTCGAATAAAATACAAAACTTTAGAAGTTATAACAAGAAATTAGAAAGTATCGCCAAGGCTGTAAATGGTAAACCAATTATAATAGTCGTTGATAAACCTTTAGTGAAAACTATAAAAGAATATTTCTCGCAAGTCAATGCTATTGTAAATGACGACCCAAACTCTCTTATAGATCTTACAGATGAATCTCAAAAAAAGGTCCTAGGAGCTGCTAAAGCAAAGTTTCAAGGTTTATATGTAAATTTAGATATGATTATAGATGAAGAATCTGCTAAATTAATAGATGAAAATATACTAAATAATATTATTGACGGTAAATTAATTAAAATAGGAAATAAAATCATAGATTACAGCTATAAAAAGAACAAAGAGTTTTACATAGACAGGATAGTCAGCCGGAATGAGAAGCTGGAAGAAGAGGTGTTAGAAGTAAAAGAAGTAATGACACAAACTCTATATGACTTACACGATGACGTTGTACTGATAACAGCTTTACCAGGAATGGGCAAGTCTACTTTAATGACTCATTTGTCCTTAAAAACAAAAGAAGTAAACCCTAAGCTGTGGATATTAAGGATCAATTTGTTAGAGCACACAAAGGCATTGAGTGATTGGAAAGATGGTGGAACTGATATAAACATGCTAGAAAGTTTAAGATTCATCTGTGACGTAGCCATTTGTAAAGATCACGAAGATTGTAATGAAGATGATGAATTTAAAATTGAACTGGAAGAAGTACTTGGAACAGTAATCTTAAAAAACGGGCACGAAGACAGTCTTATAGAATTCCAACTTCAATTATTTCTCTATTACTATAACACTAAGGAATTAATATTCATTTTCGACGGGTTCGATGAAATATTCCCTCATTATGCCGATCAAGCACTTGCATTAGTCAAATCAGTGAGAGATTTCACTAGAAAACATAAGATTTGGATCACAAGTCGATCTTTTAATGATATTAAGTTAATTTTGGAAGCTGAATTTGGACTTTCGTATGAGATAGAACACTTTACTCGATTAGAACAAGACAGCTATCTCTTCACTTATTGGCAATCAAAATTGCAGTTCAAAAAACTAAACAGTGACCAACTACAAAATGTAAACAGCTTTGTTCAATTTATACAGAAGCATGTACCGACTGGAGATTTCTGTCTCCATAGCAAAATTCAACATACGCCGTATTTTAAAGTGTACCTTAATTTCTTGGAATATTTGAAGAAACAGTCGATAGACACAGGCATTAAATTTTCTTACGACGAATACAACAACCATATGCTTAAATTCGACTCAAGGAAAAGTGTTATATCATATTTCACCAACGACTTGATTGCACCTCCCCTTCATCTGTACCTACTAGCCGAATATTTCCTCAACAAAATAAAAAATGTCGACCAACATGAAAATAAATGGGATTTTTATATAACAGGATATATTTTCTACGAATATTATATGGAAACGAAACTGAAGAGAATTAGGTTTCAAGAGAAAAACAAAATTGATGTTTATAAACCAGACAATAAAGTTGCTTATGAAAAAGAAAGGGTAGAATGCATTGATAAGCATAAAAAATTGGGTGCTTATGCCATTTTTTATCCAAATACAGATATTTTTGAAGAAGCAGAATTACAAGAAATGCGAACAATGATAGATGAACTCAAAGATGGAAGGGACAAAACTGGTTTAATCCGGACCGTAGCAGATAACATACCAATATTCGTACACATGTCGTTTGCTGAATATTTTGCAGTAGAGTACATTTGCGATCAACTTAAATCACAAGACACAGAAGAGAAGCAAGAGAAAATATGGAAATTCATAATCAAGGTAATGTTCTGTCAGTGCGATATGAACATTTTCGATATATTCAACACGAAATTTAAAATGGATTCGCAGTTGATTGAAATAGCAGAGAGGAACAAACAAATGATCCGTCAGTTGATGTATGAATTGAAAAATTTCGGGATGGTGACTAGATGGTCGGATTACGAAAGAATAGACAAAATTAGCCGAGGTATTGACTACAGGTATACAGACAGATGTCTACTGCTCACTGTAACCTATTCTACGCTACTGGATAATGGGCAGATCGACGAAAATTCTTGTCTAGATTTTGAGAAGTTCTTCCAATTCTATTATTTAGTTAATGAAGAGTCTGGTCTAATGGCTGTTAAAGTATGATAGTTGCACGTGATGGCAGAGTCGGATTAAGCTCAGAGACGCCCGAGACAAGCACCTCGTAGTCGCCCCTAATATTTTTGTCCCCGCCGTCACTCTATGTACATTTGTACACGCGCGTCTCGCGGCGCCCCTCTGTAACCTGGCGCCCGGCACTTGTCTAGAGCGCCTTAGGGATAATACGGCTCTGCGTGATGGCGTAGAACAGACTCCGTATAAAAGACGCTGTTTTTGTAATAGTGGAAAATCATCAATGACGTCTCCCGCGTTGGGTGAGACGGGCGGGGTATCAGACTCTTACTGACTATACACCACTCCGTTCCTACTCCTGTTTCGAAGTAAAAGTCAAGTCAAAATCATTCATTTCAATTAGACCAGGAAGTCACTTTTGAACGTCAACATAAAAAATTAAAGTAAAGCTATTTGCTCATTCCAAGGTGTTGATTCTTATGGAGAAGAACGAGCAACAAACTCCATAGGTTACTCTTCTTCAATCAGGTTCTCAATACAACTCTCTTGTTACATAGTTTTGTTGGTTCGATCATGGTAACTGAACTGAAAACTGAAACTGAAACTCTTTATTTGCATGTTAAGGTAATACATACTCGTCGCGGAGAACCTAACGGGTAACCGGGGCTCCGGCTCGACGTGCAGAAGAAGGAACGGCGTGGTTTTTAGTCAGTACGAGTCTGACACTCCCTCCCGCCTCACCCAGGCGGGAGCAGTCATTCGATGATTTTCCCCCCTTAAAAAAAAAGGTAATACAGACTCGCAAAGTCGGTGGTTAAAACCCTAAGTTTAAAACAGAAGGACTAGAGAGACGCTACCTAGGGTCAGGAGTTATGCAGGCTCTGGATGGAAGAAGGGGCTGTGTTGACCAGTGACCATATTAACAGCCTGTAAATATTCCACTGAGCAAAGGCCACTTCTTGCACAGAGAAGGAATGTATGTGATTGTTTGTCTAATAAATGTTAATTAGTTTTACATCACTGTTGTATTTATTAGTTTTCCTGCTTTCGTTTTTTGTACCTAAGTTATGCTTGCTCGCAACTAAGTACATATCTTGCGATTGGCTGAACCGACATGACATTATATGCGATTACAAAAAAAATTGTGTTAATTTTTTTATGGCATGAGCCGTAAACGAGCAGACGGATCACCTGATGGTAAGCAATCGGCGTCGCCCATGGACACCTGGAACACTAACGGCGTTTGAAGTGCGTTACTGGCTTTTTGCAAGTCAAAATATGTCAAGTCCCTTTTTTTATGGCATAAGCCGGTAAACGAGCAGACGGATCACCTGATGGTAAGCAATCGGCGTCGCCCATGGACACTTCAAACACCAGAGGCGTTACAAGTACGTTACCGGCCTTTTGGGAATTAGGAGTTTGAGGATTGTGGGGGATTCGGGAATTGGGGAGGCTGGGGAAGGGGAGGGTAATTGGGCCTCCGGTAACCACACTCACACGACGAAACACAACGCAAGCGTCTATTTTCGTCTATTTTCTTTGAGGTTTCCCTTAGTCGGGTATACGACACCCGCGGGAAGTATAGGGACAGTGACAAATATGTATGTACAGTGAAACCTGGTTAAGTGAGACACCAAGGGACCTGCAATGTCGTTTCACTTATAGAGGTGTTCCACTTACCTAGTGTCTCAGATATACAGGTATATTCTCATTTACAGAGGGTTCCGTTACCTAATTTATTTATTTTATTTATTTATTTAACTTTATGCAACAAAAGTACATAGGCGGGCTTAATGCCATGGGCATTAACCTGGCACCTAATAGAGGTGGACTTGAAATTACGTATGGAATTTGTGGGTAAAATAAGAATGAGTAAACAAACAATGTTGTCTCAGTTACAGAGGTTTATGCATATAAAATTTACTCGCTGTCTCAGTTATAGAGGTAACTATGATGATAAATCGAAAGAATAAATCCCAGATATAGAGGTTTACCTCGTCCCACTAACAGGTAATTCAGTGCCAAAGTGTTGGGACCTCAGCATGAGTTCCAGTTATGGAGGTTTCTCACTTATCCAGGTCCCACTTAACCAAGTTTCACTGTATTAGTAGGATTGTATTCTATTGTCTGCCACCTTCATCCGCGTAACAAGAGGCAGGTAAGCAGCTATTTACTATGTATATTTATTAATAGATTTATAGTTTCACGGCCACAACCTCGTCAGGTGTAAAAATCCATACATTCTTTACCTCCCACACTAATGTCGTGTAGTGATGACAAAGTAGACTATATTTGTCAGCATGTCAGCACCCCTTCTCTTCCCGTAGGTGTCGTATACCCGACTAAGTGACCACACATTTGACAGAGACCGGGCAGCAGCGCTCTCTGATAAACCTGGTTACTGTACGGGTTTTATGTAGTATAGTAACTTAACATAACTCCTTTTATCCTCTAAGGGGTAGGCAGAGGTGTGTATTACGACACTTAATGCCACTGTACAATGTAACACCCACTTTTCACTATTTATGTTATGAGTCCCATGTAATAGGGGGTGAGTCTATTGCCATATACCGGGCACATTTCCAGACTCTGTGCTACTACTGAGATTTTTTTTTAAAAACCCTATAATACTTTGCCTGACCCGGGAATCGGACCCGAGACCCCTTCCCCGCTAGACACACTTGCGACCGCTCCGTCAACGAGACAGTAGTATAGTCAGCAAAGAAACTAAAGATAGATTCAGTACAGAGACAGTAGCTATCGTTATATTAAATTGTACGCTTTGTAACGAAGCCATATCTTTTGTAACCATTGGTCAGCTCTAGACAACCAATGGCTACTGTCTCTGTACTGAAACAATTTATATTTTCCTACCTGCATACTAAAGCAGACTACACTTTAGTCACTTAGTATTAAGTGTGGGAGAGCCATGCTTCGGCACGAATGGGCCGGCTCAACCGGAGTGATACCACGGTCGAGCAGAAAACTGACGTGAAGCAACGCTTGCGTTGTCTTTCGTCGTGTGTGTGAGGTTACCGGAGTACCCATTACCCCTCCTCCCTTTCCTAATCCTGCAGTCCCTAACAATCCTCAAATCCCTAATCCCAAAAGGCCAGTAACGCACTTGTAACGCCTCTGGTATTCCAGGGTCCTTACTCTTGAAGCCTAATCTTAATGTCAATGCAATTTCAATACAGTATATTCTCAATAATGATTCAATGTCAACATTATAGAGGTAAAACAACAATCGAAGCTGTTACAATAGCATTCGGAGTACGGAATATAAAGCTGAACTCAATACCATTTAGTTCATTCAATATCCACGCAATACGGATGCAATGGGCGCTAGTTTTACGACTCAAGAGTATAAAATTTCACAATACCAATGTCGATCGATCAGAAATGGATTCAATGTGACATCCTCCTGGTGTCTATGGACGACGCCGATTGCTTACCATCAGGTGATCCGTCTGCTCGTTTACCGGCTTATTCCATAAAATAGACTTTAGTCGGGATTACGACATCCGTGGGAAGACTAGGGTTGCTGAAGTGTCCTGCACTGCTGTATTGTAATGAAGAAAATAAATGAGTTGCAGAGTGCAGCGAACTGGTGACTGTCTAAGAATAGACTTCGTTGGCGATGCATGGAATAGGGGTCGCGTAGAGTTGTATACATTTTTAATTTTTGACTAGCGTCTGTCACTTCTGTCACCGACTTCGTCCGCGTTTCGTTAGATTAAAAAATAGCCTATCTGCAGCCTGCTGTAGCCAAATGCCATTTAGCGCTTGTCTTTTTTTTAAGGGGGAAAATCATCGAATGACTGCTCCCGCCTGGGTGAGGCGAGAGGGAGTGTCAGAGTATTACTGAGTAAAAACCACCCCGTTCCTTCTCCTGCACGTCGAGCCGGAGCCCCGGTTACCTGTTAGGTTCTCCGCGATATTTAGCGCTTGCACATGTAGAATAGAAAACTAAATTATATGGAATTGACGTAAATTTTGACACTTGTCAGTGTCATCCCCATATATTTTGATTTGTACTCTCTCTGTAGACAAGCGCTAAAGTGGCGTTTGGCTAAAGGCACTGTTGTCGTAGTGGTCCGTAGGTTGAACACGCCCGCTTCTCATGTACGAGAGTGCGTGTTCAAAACCAACGGCAAGTACCAACATAACATAACATGACGCCTTTTATCCCCGAAGGGGTAGGCAGAGGTGCACACAGAAGTAACACCCACTTTTCAAGTCACATTGGTACTGCCTCGTTGGCCGAGTGGTCTCAAGAGCGACTGTCGGGCAACCGGTCTCGGGTTCGTTTCCCGGGTCGGGCAAAGTATTACTGGGTTTTACAAAAATTCTCAGTAGTAGCATGGAGTTTGGAATTGTGCCCAGTATATGGCAATAGGCTCACCGCCTATTACATGGGACTCATAACATAAATAGTGAAAAGTGTGTTACATTGTACAGTGGCATAATGTGCACCTCTGTCTACCACCTTCGGGGATAAAAGGCGTGATGTTATGTTATGTGATATTATGTTATTTTTTTATTAAAATCCATTTATCGTAATACTGTAGACTCAGTGCCTATTTTTAAACAGATATTCTAAACTGGAGGGCACGAAAAATAACTTTCATAAATATTTTTACTTAAATATCGTCTCTATTGTATCGTTCGCCGAGTAGTCATTGTAAAACGACGACTGCGAATCAGTTCAGTACCATACGCTGGCAATACTCGCGCGTAATACTAAATAATACAAAAAAAAAACTATTACAAATGTTCATAACACAAACAAAATAACAATTACGTATTGGCAAACAAAAACAAAACGAAATAATCATTTGTATTATGATAATTTCGTGTTTTATCATTCAATATTAAAGATTTAAAATATAAATCACGCGTTTTGTCATAAAATAAACATTATTATTTTAATTTATTCAGTTTGACAGTTGTTATTTTGGTATTTCCCGCGTTTTTTAATGTCATTCGTTTTTTTCTCGATTGTGGTGAAATTAAATAGTGAAGTGCAAGCGAAACGTAATAAAGGTCAGTGCGTGGACAGATAAAAAATATAATAGACGGGTTAGCGGTTTTTTGTGAGTGGTATTTTTTTTATAAGTTTGTTGTTTATGATGATAATAGATATTTTAAACATTGGTTGCAAGGTACTTAAAATCCGGTTTGGTAATTTTATTATGAAAAAATTTTTTAAAAAAAAAATATTTTATGTGGGAATAGGAAATGTAACAAACTACAAAAACATAGTGTAGGGCAGTGTTTTTCAAGCTGTGGGTCGCGACCTCCTGAGGTCGAAAAATCTGGGTACTTTAGTAAAAAATAACAAAGACAATTAATATTTATTTATTAAGTAAGACTCTTCTT